GTCAGATGAATTTTAATTCCACTAGTCTAAATCCGCCCGACAATGTTACACACTATATGATTTGGTCGGGCGGTCGGACAGTCAGATGGAACGGCCACATGACAAGACCCGATGGGATCAATCAGATGCATGGCTTAAGATATCTTTAATCGTGGTCAGATGACACATCTATACACGAACTGATACGACGTCCGACCGGACCAAATTATCCTGTCGGCCCGACCAAATCATATTGTGTGTAGGGGGCTTTTATTATGTATTGCTGAAAAATAAATTAAATACATTATTTAAATACTGTAGGTACAAAATTGTTTTCAACAAAATTTATAACTAAGTTAGGTATAAATAAAAACATACAATGTTTTTAATTGATTTTAAAACTAAACAATAAATTATAAAACTAATGATTTTTGTAGTTTGCAAAGCCTGGGCATAAACGAGCTAGAAAGTTAAAGTTAAGTTAAAAAGTTAACTTTTTAACATTTTATATTCATTAACTTCACTGATTTTTATTGATATAAACTTAATAAATAACGAGTTACCTACTTTTAATCAAATCTAATTAACGTTAATTTATAAACAATTAAATAATAAATATAGATAATATTTTTTATTATTGATGATACATATTGCATAAACATTTACTTTTTATTATTTAAAGCATACTTGGAGCTGGCTATTTATATATTAAAAAAAAAAAATAATAAAACAATAATTAAAGTATTAACTGTATACTTATTAAAATGCTTGCAATCAACTTTAACTTAACTCAATTAAAAATTATCATTAACTTGCCCAGGCTTCACTTGTTTGAAATAAGCAGTTATTGCTAGCCAATTTGGAAGAAGATTAGAGCTGTTAAGTTTTTGATGTTCTAGATTTGTGCTAAGAACTGAGAAAAATATGTTATACAATTTCAAAATAAAATTTTCCTTATAGTTATTACTTACAATAATTAGAAATAGGTATGTAGAATTAATTGTAGGTTTTAGAGATAAAAATTGAATTCTTTTAAAATGATTTCTTTTGAATTTTCTTATGTTAAAATGTATTACAAATATAGAATCAAGAGACAAATAATAATTGTTTAAGACAAAAAAAAAAGAGAACTTTGAGTTTAGTCTACCTGTAGAATTCTGAAAGTACTTGCTGTAATATAGCTGTTTACTTACTTGGTAATTATGTAATTTTATATTTAAAAACAATGATTGTTAAATATATTTATAGCTGTATATAGGCATGTATATTTTTCAATGTATTCATGAACCTAAACTGTAGACATTATTTGGTTCTGATATGTAAACACAATATATGACGGATCCAAAACGTACTATTGCCATTAAATTAATGGAAATTATACGTTTTGGATTATTGTAAATTATGAAATGCAATATACATATAGAGTTTATACTTAAAAAATTAATATTAGTTTTCAAAAATTGCTATTACTCATTTAATATTACATTTATTGACCTTAAGTTAACCAACATTGGTTATAGAAAAGGGGTTACAGAAAATCACTTCTTCTGAAAAATCACTTGCCTACCTTATTTTTTTTTATAAATTTAAACTATAAAATATTTTTAATGTTTAAATTAGAAATAGTAGGTATTCAAGATGATATCTAGAGATAAATCTCATTTAATATTAGAGACAAATGTAAGAAAGAAGTAACGCCACCATCTTTAAGGGTTCGTGTTGCTGTTGCCTTAGACCGTGGTGTTATAAAACTGCTCAAATTCCAAGTTTGATAAGTCTTAGAACAGCAAAAATCAGAGCAAATTCCTTAACAAGGCTACATCATGACCCAGTAATTGCATTAAATATTATGAAATACAATTCAACTTTTTGTTCCCCCATTCGTGATATTGGTATGATGGTTTTTTTGTGTATTTTTGGAGCAACTTACAACTTCGAATTTACAAGGAATGTTATTCCAAATTAGAAATTCCTACTATATCATTTGACGCTACAGGGAGGTGCTGAGGTGCTGTAGAAAAATTAAAAGACGTGACAACAATATGAGTAGCGCCCTATTTCTTTCCGAAGTTATTATGGAAGTAGATGGAAAAACATTCACAGTTTGTTCCATGATACATTGAGTATAATATGTACGTGGTTAAAACGATGGCTAAAGTGTGGTGTCAAACCTCCTAAAATGGTAATATCCGATCAATCTTTGGCCCTTATGTCTGCAATTGTTCAATCATTTACGCAATATAACTCACTTGAAGAGTACTTAAAAATATGTTTCAAATTATTCATGAATATTCAAGTTAACGATGTTGATATACTGTTATTTTTTGTTAGAAACAATATCAACCATTTTGTAAAACTAATATCACAATGGACTCCTCTTAAGAAATCAAAGTTCCCTAGAACTAGACAATTGTTTATTTGTTACATGACACTGTTATTATACTGTTCTTCAATGGAAGAAACCAAACAAATTTTAGAATCTATTTTTAAAATAGCACTAAGTCCATATGATGGTTTGTGCTTAGGAACGGCAGATGAAATTGTTTTTGCTAGAAGTAAAAAATATCTACAACCTCTAATTTCTAAAAAGTCATCGTACTTACAACATGAAGAATCAAATTCTGTAGATGAAAATATTTGTGAAGATACCGATACGTCATTCATGAATTGGGCTTCTATAATTGCAAGTCGTTGTAAAATAGATATTGAACAACTGGAAGGGGAATATGACAACGCCAAGTATGTACCAGAAATAGTTCCCTTGGTACTTCAAGTAATGAAATTATACCCATGTTGGTCGGGAATTATGACAAAAATATTCAAGTATGGAGACGCGACAGTAGGGTGGAAAGTAATTTCAATAACATAAAAAATAGAGTTTTCAACGGAGACAACTTACCTATAAGAGTTGACGGTTTTGTAGAAAAGTTAGTCTCTTACTATAATGGGGATCATTTGTTACTTAAAAATTCTGATTCAATTGTTCCAACAAATAATATAAATATTGAAGACAATTTAGGATCAAACATAGGTAAAGACAATTATAATTCACAAACAGTTTCTTACAATAAAAGTATTCATTTGAATAACGAAGAACTTGATAAAGATTGTACAGATGAAGTATCTTATATTGGTTACACTAATAACAGTTCAATTACAAATTTGAACAACAAAAATGTTATACAAATTGAAGAAGATAACGATATAGAATCTAATAAAAATAGAACAATTTCAACGGCGACTATATTAAATAAAAAATCGAATACCAACATGTGTTTGAAAACCAAGATATGTCTGCCATGTAAAAATGGAGTTTCCTACGGGTACACATAGGTGTATATTTTGTAATAAATCTGTGTATTTATTTGGTTGTTTACTTGACCATGTCGATAGTGAAGAGGGCTACGGAGAGTCTCGTATATGTTTGTCATGTTTCAACCAATCCCAAAAAAATAACTCTGAAGAACATGGCAAAGAAAAAGAAAAATATCCAACCGATCCCACAGACGTCCTGCAAACTCATATCTTGTATCTCAACCAGGATTCGATCATTTAGATTTAATCGAAAAGGGATCTATAAAATCTATAACATTTTTAAAAAATGGGAATACATTTCAAAATAAAACATGTTCTTTACCAGAAATAGGTAAAGTAGTTCTTAAAATAATAGCTGTTCGCCAGATTCATTGATGTCAATTTTAGCCTGTGCTGCAGCAGACAGTAATGTTTATTTTGAATTTTTATCAGGTATATCAAAAAAATACTAAATTTATTATAAGCATGTTAAATACAAAAACGAAGAAAAGTATGCATAAAGAAAGAATAATATTATTAGCTCCTTATTTTTTATCGAAGGACAAACATCTCGTTGGTGGTATTAGTAAAATTGATGCAATGGTACAATTGTCCGAAATTATTTTTTAATATGGATTCTGGACACATCTCTTATATATGTTTATAATTTAAAAATTTTTAAAATGTTATCATGTAAAATGTGATAAGTAATAAACATTTTTCAAAATATCAAGACTTCAAGTACAAATCTGAATATTCTTTTAAAGTTATACCAAAAAAACTGAAATTTTGCTTTGAAAAACATAAAAACTGAACAATTCAAGCTTTTCCATAGTTTTTTTTATAATATAATGATGATGAATATATTAGGTAAATACAAATTTAACAGACTTATATTATTGTCAGTGTTGGGTAAGTTACTTTTAAAAAGTAATTAAGTTACATTACTCATTACTAAGAGATAAATGTAATTAAGTTACTTAACTCGTTACTCAAATAAAATTATAATGTAATTACTTTACTTTTCAAATAGAAAAGTAACTCATTACACTTTCTCGTTACAAAAAAAAAAATTAATTTATTGGCAATTATCTTCTGTAGGCAAATTGAACAAGCGAATTCTCTATAAAACCCGTATAAAAATTAGTCTTCCCCACAAGCTATTCATAGGAAACCTATTTGAAGGAATCAAATTAAATAATAAATTTAATTAACTGTTCTCGTGATTTAGGTGAAATTAGACATTTCAAATGTGAAAACCATTGAAAAATTAATTGTGACGAGTTAAGATTAAATAATATATATACATATTAGATTGGTGAACATAATAATACCAGCTTTATACATATATTTTTTTTTCAATTCGCAATAGGTAGGTAGGTACTTAATAATTCGAAACTGTAACGCGTTATTTTATAGAAATTACTTTTAAAAAGTAATTTCCATTACATTTTGGTTACTTTGAATTAATTCTAATGAAATTACTTAACGCGTTATACAAGCAAAGTAACGCCGTTACGGTAACGCGTTACTTTCGTTACGTTACTACCCAACACTGATTATTGTAATTTGGAAATATAAAACATTTTTTATTACATAGATACATATACATACATAATACATTATACGAATAAGTAGTATTATAATTATAGAATATAATACAAAACCATTAAGTTAAAATAAATTAATACATTACCTATACTAGTTATAGGTAACTATAAAACACATCAATCAGATTTTACTTTAGAGAATGATGAATATATCTTTGCGTAAAATGTACGAATAAATGTATGAATAAATGTACGAATAAACTTAAATAATTTTAAAACAATTAGTACAAAAATGTAAATAAATATAAGCATTACAGCAATTATATCTAATAAAAAGTATTGATACCACGTTAAATTAAGAGCTTGAGATTTTAGGTGTGGTGCTCCTTTGTGACGAATAACATATTCTGTCCAGTAAGCAACAGACTTTTCTGGTGACATTGGTCGGTCTTTAAATATCTCTGAAGTAATTTTGGCATTTTTAATGTATCTAAAATAAATAATATTAGAAATACCAATAAATGTAGGCTATCAACAAATACTTACTCTTCATCATTAACAAGATCCAATATATTTTTAAAAAAAGTTTCTTTAGTAACCGAAAATATTTCCATAGATATAGCCATGCCTGCCTCAACTAAATTATCTATGTTTCTATGCTGATCACCGAATAATGGAAATCCTAAGACTGGAACTCCAGCGTCTACTGCTTCATACAATCCCGATATTCCACCATGACTGACGAAGAGCTTAACATTTTTGTGCACTGTAAATCATTAAAAAAAATATTAATAAACTATTGATTATCGACATTTGTTTTATTAGAAAATCTTACACAGAATATCTCTTTGAGGTAACCATTTTCTTGTCATGACATTTTTAGGTTTATCTTCCATTTCCCCTTCATATTTCAATAAAACTTTCTGAGGAAGTTCAGAAATTGCTTCTTTAAACGCAGTTAGAATATTTCTTGGAAGTGAAGTCATTGAAGTGGTTGAACCAAATGTGAATAAAATGACTCCATGTGGTGCATCTTCAATAAAGTCTAATATATCCTATAACCAACAGTTTCCATTATTAATGAGTGTGATTTATTTTATTTGTAAAAAAAGTTAAATGTCTTATTTATGTACTAAGTAAAATATTAAATTTGTTAAAATTTAAAAAAAAAACATTTACTGATTTCAAAGTCTGAAGAATTGGATTTTAAGTCTTAATATAATAATGGTTTAATGTTAAATTTGATGTTCTATTCTGATTTTCTGTAACAATTAGTAAATGATATAATAAAAATATTGTGTACATTTCAAGTGCCTATGGTTATTCTTTTCTAAATTAATGCAAAATAAGAAAATCACTACATGAGAAATCGAGTGAATATACAATGTTGTAACAATTTTAACTCCAAACTCTCATAAAAATTTAATTTGACTTTCCGGTAGACATTTTTTTTTTTTTTTGATAAAGGTTGAAAACTTATGAGAAATATTGTATTCAATTTTAAAATCTTAAAATTAAATCTTAGATTTGTTTACAAAAAAAAAAAAAAAAATTATATAAAATTATTACTTGAGGTATTTTTTTGGGTGGTTTTAAGTGAATGCCACCAATATTCACAACGTTTGACGGAGTTGGTCTAGGCTTATCGCTTATGAAATGAGTGTTCATAAAGACCAATGACGGAGGATTTATGGTTGCTAAGTCATAAGGTTTTGAATTGAATAATTGAATTAACAATTCTTGAAATCTGACTACTATACTGGTGTACAACCAAACAAGTGTATTAGTTAACCGTTGAACGAACGTCTTAGGAACAGCGGAATGAAATAACATTGTTGATACCGTTGCTGGATTATGGACCTCGCCATAAGTGATACGTTCTGTATAAGTATTTATTGGAATTGGAAGCGTGTGGATCACTGGCAAATTTGAGTTTGCTCCCAGGTACGATAAACAACCCGACACTATTCCAGGTTCATAAACAACTGCATCAAAATCGGATTGCAATTTGTTTGCAAGAAAATCATTTAGTTGTTCATTATTGTGTAATATCTCGCAACTTAGTCTACCCAATTCCATCATAAATGAAATTGGCGTAAACTGATTGCTATATGTTTCTCTCTTACTTACTATATTCATGCCAAGTTTCATTGGAAACATACTAGACATGTCTATTTCTGTATAGTTTTCGCGATTACCGTCAAGGAATGGTGTGAAAACTGTAACATTATGTCCATTGTTCGTCATTGCCCGAAGCACGGCGCTCATGAAATTCCAATGACTCTTGCCAGCAAACGTCTCTATGGCTAATATTCTCGCAGCATTTCCCAGTTGAATACCCGAACAACAGAATATTGCCAAAAGTATAATTGAAACTATTGACTTGTGCGACATTTTTGTTTTTGCGGTTTAGTTTAATAAAATAGAGTAGATATGTGAATTATAACGGTTTGTAGTTTTAAACTAATTTGCGTTCTTCGTCCGTCCACGCTTTGCTTATACATATATTAACCCAATAAATAATATTACGTAATTGTTTGAATTTACATATGATAAGTACTTTAGATAACGCCACTTTATTACAGTCTACAACAGGGGTCTCCAAATTTTTTTATTTAAGGGCCACAAAAAAAATCAAATGCTCTTAGCGGGCCAAAAGTTTATAAACACGTATAATTTTTAACTTTATGATAATATAGGTACCTATATAAATAATATGTTTACTTTATATTTTTGTATAGAATATTGCTTACTTTACAATATTCTTAAATAAAAATAAATAGGTATAAATATAATATAATATAAATACATTTTTGAAATAATTTTTTTATCTATATTTACTTATGCGTCCTATGCGGGCCACGGGCCGGTTAAAACTTGTTCGCCGGCCGTATCCGGAGACCCCTGGTCTACAATAATAGGCATAGGTAATTCATCAAGCAGAAGTAACACGTATTAATATATTATATTTAACAACATATTATAATTATGTGTTATTAATTAAGACTTAAAGAGTATAAATAGTATAATACGATATATTAAAATAAGCTATAATATTATGGTACTTTTCCAAAACATTTGTTTTGTTGTACTTCAACATGCCACGTTTGAAATAATTGTCGATAAGATAAGTTGTTCGTAGTAATCGCAACGCGATAAAAAATAATCTCTGTTGTATAAACATAAATCGTATTTGAATTTGGTGATTTGATCATTGATGTGTACGTAGGTATATAACGTAGGTACAGTGGCGTATTTTGAAATTTTTTGTGGGGGGGGGGGTCTAAATATTAGGTACCTACAAGTTTATAATATAAAAAAAACACATACGAGTTACGATGTAATAATTATATTATATTATATTTTTTTCTGGGGGGGGTCCAGACCCTGGGACCCCCCCCCCCCCCCCCGTAAATACGCCACTGCGTAGGTACATATACTGTATTTTCGGTGGGGGCCAATTTGAACTCTCGTGCAGCCAAGTTTATGCTTGGGGTACAACTTAACATGATGGGATATTATTTTTTTATACTAAAGAGTAAATATGTTCTTCCTGATTTGTTGGACAGTGATGGACAGTATACAAAACTGTTGTAAATTATTTTCATAGGTAAAAAAAATCTTAAAATGCCCTGCTACATTGACCGTAATTTGATTTGTTTTAAATTCTTACACAATTTAAAAAATATGTTGGACTTTATTTTGGTAATTTGACATATTGAACTTGTGATCAGCGAATTAGTTTTGTCATATCTATTATTATAAACGCAAATATTACGTATCTTTAAAAATATATAGGTACTTAGGAATATGCTTTATCTCAATAGTCAAGACTGCAGTAGAGTGTAGATTGCGAATATACATAAAATACCATAAACTTTAGAGTGTTATTGGTTTTTATAGTGGTTGTGTACTTCTTTGAGTAAAACATGGTCTCGTTGTCTATTTATAAATAATTTATAATTTTTTTTATGTTAATGTAATTAAAATATTCTTATAACAATAGTTCTTATATTATTATGTTGAATGTAATATAATATAACAAATACCTATTTATGGTGTATAGGGGCTAAACTGTACTACACTGTAATCTGTATATAAAACCGTGTTATCTAAATTGTATCTAATAGAGTAAGTAATTTTGTACATACATAGTAGCCAAACTAATATTATATCATCAAGATTTAACTTTTTGAACAGTTATTACCTGCCATTTTTTTCAGAAGAAATATATTTAAAGTGTATTTAATAATTGTTGAACACCTTGCTCCAGGGTCATTTGGAGTAAAGTCATGGGGTAGCAATTACATGTTCTCTAATGAAGCTTAGGAACAGTCAGTGGGTAAAATTGATTTGGTGATAATTGCTACCAAGGTCGTCCAACATCAAAAATCTAGAGGGGGGGGTGAAACTATATTTTTTCAATTATCTTGACCTTTTTGTAAATTTGTTAACTGCTATATTATGTAAGTTTACATAGCATAATATTATATGACTATAAAATAAATAAGCGTAAGTAGTTCAATTTCTAATAAAATGTAAAATATATCATAAATAGGTAATGCACTTTATTATTTATTTAAAAGAATGACTACTTACTTAAAAAAGTAAAAAACATTATATAACTAAAGATAATTACATTTTAAAACAAGAAATTTAAGTTACGTTTATTTTTTGAAAATTCGTCAACAACATTTTTAACTAAATTTAAATCTTGAATTTTCTATCCATGTACCTATACTAACTACTAAGCATACGTCATAATTCAGATAATAAATTATATTATACTTATTAGTTATTATGAAGTTTAGTATTTTTTATGATAATATATATATGTTGTTAAAATCATTAAACTACGTGTAAATACATCCACATTTTTTTTTCCAATTTATTAACAAAATTAATTTCTGTGATTATAGAACAAAAAGTTAGTAACGAACACTATGATTATCAATTTTCTTTATTCAATGTATTAGTTATAATATATTATTTATAAATGTATAATAGACACGGAAAAACCAGGGGGTCCCTCCCTTGCCACTCTTAAGAAAAGTCCTTGATTGTTACCCTTAGCTACCCCATAATGAAGCATATTTATGCCTTGTTCAATGAAAATTATTTTACAAAGTTCTATAATTTAGTGTAATTAAATAAGTTTAAACAGAATGTCAATATTTTCCGAAGATTATATTTTGGTCGGAGTTGGTACAATCAGCTCTAATATACATGTACTTTAAATTGTATTATTGTACCTACGGGCGTCACCGTTTTCGCCAGCATCTACCGTTTTCTTTAATATGTTTACTGAACTTAACAATTTTTATATTTAATTAAATAAAAAATAAAACAATTGGCAATAAACTGTTATAACATATTATTATTATTATTACAATTGATTATTTTATAGGTATTAGTATTTTAATAAATGTTATCATACCTATCAATAAATTTAATAAATTAATCAAATAAAAATTAATATAGTCATATAATACATATCGGTAATATAAGAAGGTATATAATAATAATTATGATAGTAAAATATGAATTCACGAATATGTCAAAATATTAAGATTTCCGATTACATTAGTTGAAAAAAAATTAATATAGTTTTATAATACCTATGCAATAATTATTATTATAATAAAATTCACATTTTATAATTGTATGATATTTGTTTTACAAATTTGTAACGACATATTTTACTATTTTTGTAGTCTTTTATGTAACCTTCATTTCTTCGTTGCCGTTCCACATTTTTTGCATCACGAGTTGTTTTTAAAATGTTGATACTTCTTATTTTTATGTGTATATCTGTTTGAACTTCATTAATAAGGTTTGATTGGGCCGTGTTTTTAGTTTTATATTATATTATATATCAAACAAGGAAAAACACTGGTTTATCTTCATTAAATCAAACTTACTTTGAAGAGTTAATATAATAAAAATTGTAAAATTGTCCAGACAAAAATTAATTGTTAGGTAATTTATTTGACTAAAATTATTTTATCGCCAATTGTTTTATTTTATTATTTTTTCACTCAGTTGTAGGTAATAATTTTTATCAAAAAATTATATTTTTGGATACAATCATAATTTTTAAGTTCAATTGTTATAATTGTACATTTTAAAGAAAACTGTAGGTAGGTGCTTAAAGAAGAGGGAACTGTAAGTTTTGGCCGAAAAGGGAAGTTTACATTTTGGCCGAAAAGGGTGCCGCCCTTAACTACTGGCTAGTGGCTACTATATTATGTGTATCCGTGGACAAAAGTGGGGCCTAGCGAGAGATATATATAAATATATAATATTGTTTATTATCAGAACACATCACAATACATTATCATCAGCCGTATAAATCATAATTAATTAATCACAGCATTTTCATGTACAGACAAAATATTATAGTTTCTATTAGATATTAATATAAAAATAATTTATATTTATAGCAAAATCAATTTTCTTGATACAAGTGTCAAGTTTTACAAGCGATGCAGCTCAACCCGGCTTCCTATCATAGCTATTTACTGTTGTTTATTTTCATTAATCGGCCGTACTATTAAAATATGGTTTCAATAATAACCCGTTAAAAAAATGAATAATGAATAAATCGTTAATTACCTAGCTATTAAATATGCATAGGCATAAATTCAATATTCAATATTTTCTTGATGTGGCTCATAACAATGTTCTTGATGGTATCATATTTGGCTATAGCTTTGGTGACCTATATTAAAACCTCGTCAACCACTTCTGAGTATATATTAATACTTGGATACTACAAGTAAAAAAACAAAAAATATTTTATAATAGTTATCAGTTTATAAGATTATTAACTTGTTAAATTACCTACTGGTAGATTACTAATATCTAAATAAGAATAAGAACTATTTTATTTTCGTAATTAATGACAGCATTTAGAAATGCCAAACTCAACCTATGCACCATTTAGATATTAATGAATTTACATTTTAAGTTTCGTGAAGCTTGGTTCAGTAGTTTCAGAGGAGATACTGATGTAGCAATAATAAATTGTATAAAACTGGGGGATATTAGGGAAACGCTTAGCTCCGGCCAATCAAGGCTGTCTTGGAGGGGGGATTTGGGTTTTAAATTTGAAAAATTGATTAAGTTGAAATAGCTTAAAACAATGAAAAAAAGGTGCTCTGCTGTACAGTAGGTAACAAGTGAGTCACTGTATAATGGATGGTACTCACTACTCAATTTGAATTCAATGATATAATATCATTGTATAAGAAAAACAATTCTGAGCGGAGACGGTATGTCAGTCTAGGTATAAGACATATTATATACTTATCTATGGTATTAAACAAAATTGACCTATAATATTGACCTATAATAAAAACCAAATTAATCATATCACAATATCCATTAGGTAACGCGTTATACATCAACAATAAACCCTGATACTATCGTAGATATATAATAATAGTGTCCTTTAGAAGTTTAAAGTACCCACGAATAATATTATACAATCACAACAAAATAACTAAAATAGTTATTCTAGGTTTTTTTATTATGTAATTTCGTCCAAATTTGAACTTAAAATGACTATAAAAATAAACTGTGCTTCTGTATTTTTTAGATTTTTTGATAACAGAATAAACTACTTACTTGGAATCTTGTTTTAAATTTTAATTCTTAGATATAAAAGTTGAACATTTTATAAATTATTAACCACAAAATAGTTATTAAATTTTAAATTTAATACATTTTGTCAAAATTCAATCTTTAAATGTTTATAAAAAAAAAATGTGCCAATGTATTTTTAATATTTTTCAACTGATATTGTAACAATATATCAGGAGCCTTGTATTAAATTTTTACACTTTTTGGCCCAACAGATAAAACTATTAATATTTATAGAAAAAAAAAACTAAAAAAAAAAAAACTGAAAATATCCGTAAACAGCTCAATAAGAGTCGAAATATTTTCAAAATTATTAGGTGTATAGTAAATGCTAATATAAACATTTAGTGAAATTTTCATGTATCTACAGTTGTTCGTTTTTGAATTACAATAAAATAAGGAAATCGTTACATGAGAAATCGAGTGAATATCCAATGTTGTAAAAATTTGAATTTCAAAAGCTCATAAAAATTTAATTTGACTATCTTATAGACATTTTTTTTTGATAAAGGTACATAATCTTATAAGGAATCTTGTATTACATTTTAAAATCTTAGATTTAAAAAGAAAATTTTTACGAATTCTTAACTCAAAATAGTTTGCTAATTTTCGTGATTTTTCTATATTTGGTCAATTTTTTACTTTAAATGCTTATAAAAAAAAACTGTGACTAAGGGTTTTAAATATTTTTCATCTGCCTTTGAAGCAATAAACTAAAAGCCAAAATTACATCAGAGATATTTAAAGACCGACCAATATCACCAGAAAAGTCTGTTGTTTACTGGACAGAATATGTTATTCACCACAAAGGAGCACCACACCTAAAATCTCAAGCTCTTAATTTAACGTGGTACCAATACTTTTTATTAGATATAATCGCTGTAATGCTTATATTTATTTTCATTTTTGTACTAATTTTTTTTAAAATTATTTAAATTTATTCGTACATTTTACGCAAAGATATATTCATCATTCTCTAAAGTAAAATCTGATTGATGTGTTTCACAGTTACCTATATCATAAGTAATGTATTAATTAATTTATTAACTTAATCATCTTGTATTATATAATATTTATAATATAGGTATGTAAAAAAAATTACAATAATAAATATGTTTGTGTACCTGACATAATACTTTCTTCTTTTGTTATTATATAAATTGTCTGAGCAGACAAATTAAAATCATGGGAAATCCGGTCAGAGCTGTGTAATATTCAGCTAGTATGATACCAAAAATATTGATTAATGATTGATATGGTAAATTTATTATTATAATTATTTGTACTATTGTTTCATGCGTTTGGAACTTCCCTCATTAAAACGCACCACAAAAAATTTCAGTTTTCATATTTTTGCCTTTACATAATAACAAATCTTTGTACCTAATTTCTAATTTTTTTATGGGAGGTGTGTTATAATTTTAATGATGAGTGAGTTAGGGCCAGTTTTACCGTCTACGGTTACGTTTCGATTACTCCAAATCATCTGATAACAGATTATTTAACCTGGAAAATTCATCCAATTAAACTTCGGTTCACTTTAATCGAAGAGGTACAACTGGAGTCCGTGAGTCCGTGAGTACGAGGGTCAGTATCAAAAAAGCGCTCTGCTGTACAGTAGGTTACAATAGTGGGTCACAGTATAATGGATGGTATTGAATTTGAATTCAAACCTAACCTTTTTTTTTTTTTTTTCAGTTTTGAACCGACGGCGTCGCGGGAACTGCTTCCGCAATGCTTCCGCGACGCCGCCATCGTTTATTTGAAAAAACAAATAATTATACATACGTGGGGGTTAGACGGGACAGTTCCCCGACTTACCCCCCCCCTCTATACATGACATATTACATATAACTGTAAAGACCGGATTTATATTCTCTTAAAATACCCAAAATATGATGCTAATATTCTCTAAAAAACCTTCAAATATTCTCTCAAAAATCTAAAAAATATGCTAAAATATGCAAAAATAATCAAAAAACATCATTATATGCTTTAATATGCATTTATTTTTTAAAAATTTTTTTTCAGCTGTATTTTTATTGTGAGTTATTAGTTCGGTATTAAAAGTTGCGTATTATACCTAATGGAATCGTATTGCACTTTAGTAAGAGTAGGAAGTTGGAATATAATATAAATATAACCTTATAATATTAAATCACAAAAACAAAATTTTGATATTTGAATATTTGATAAATGTATACGTTGATCTTATCAGTAGATATACATAGATAAACCTTGATAATACTGCGTGTTTTCTTTTTATCAAAATGAAAAAAAAAATAAATAAATTGTAAATGTTCAAAAAAATTTTTTCCGAGTACCGTAATATTAAAATTAAAAATAAATACAAATTTTGGCTCACAATTTACGAAATATTCCAAAATATGCTAAATGGGTTAAATATTCTCCAACCCATGAAATATTCTCAAATATGCAAGAAAAACTTTTTTCTACGCATTCAGAATTGAACGAATTGTCCACATTTTTTACTCTCATAAGACTGCATAGACCCAGCAACGATATGTAAAAACATATAAATCCGGTCTTTACGATATAACATATAACATTTTACAATTTTCAGCAGTTGTGGAGATGTTCATCTTTTGGCGGGCCGACCGGAGTCCGCCGCCCTAGTACTCTCGTGCTGATATTCCTATTGGCGGAACCTAACCTAACCTAATCTAACCATTTGATCTATAAATGCTTATAAAAAAAATTGTGCCTATGTATTTTTAATATTTTTCAACTGATAATGTAACAATATATCAGGAGCCTTGTATTAAATGTTTACACTTTTTGGCCCAACAGATAAAACTTTATGGATATTTATAGAAAAAAAAAACTAAAAGAATTGAAAACTGAAAATGTCCGTAAACAACTCAAAAAGAGTCAAAATATCTTCAAAATTGTATGGTGTATAGGAAATGCTAATATAAACATTTAGTGAAATTTTCATGTATATAAGTTGTTCGTTTTTGAATTACAACAAAATAAGGAAATCGCTACTGAGAAATCGAGTGAATATTCAATGTTGTAAATATTTGAATTTCAAACAATTTTTTTTTTATAAGCATTAAAGATCAAATTTTTACAAAATGTATGAAATTTCAAATTGAATAATTATTTTGTAGTTAAAAATTTATTAAATGTTCAACTTTTATATCTAAGGATTGAAAATTTAAAACAAGATTCCACGTTAGTAGTTAATTCTGTTACCATAAAATCTAAAAACTACATTAGCACAGTTTATTTTTATAGTCATTTTAAGTTCAAATTTGGACGAAATTACATAATAAAAAACCTAGAATAACTATTTTGGTTATTTTGTTGTGGTTGTATAATATAATTCGTGGGAACTTGAAACTCCTAAAGTACACTATTATATATCTACGATAGTATCAGGGTTTGTTCTATGGTGCTTTAATGAGGGAAGTTCCAAACGCATGAAACAATAGTACAAATAATTATAATAATACATTTACCATACCAATCATTAATCAATATTTTTGGTATCATACTAACTGAATATTACACAGCTCTGACCGGATTTCCCATGATTTTAATTTGTCTGCTCAGACAATTTATATAATAACAAAAGAAGAAAGTATTATGTCAGGTACACAAACATATTTATTATTGTAATTTTTTTTACATACCTATATTATAAATATTATATAATACAAGATGATTAAGTTAATAAATTAATTAATACATTACTTATGATATAGGTAACTGTGAAACACATCAATCAGATTTTACTTTAGAGAATGATGAATATATCTTTGCGTAAAATGTACGAATAAATTTAAATAATTTTAAAAAAAATTAGTACAAAAATGAAAATAAATATAAGCATTACAGCGATTATATCTAATAAAAAGTATTGGTACCACGTTAAATTAAGAGCTTGAGATTTTAGGTGTGGTGCTCCTTTGTGGTGAATAACATATTCTGTCCAGTAAACAACAGACTTTTCTGGTGATATTGGTCGGTCTTTAAATATCTCTGATGTAATTTTGGCATTTTTCATGTACCTATCTAAAATAAATACATAATATTAGAATAATACCAATAAATATAAGTTTACCAAAAATATTTACTTTTTGATGTTAACAAGATCCAATACATTTTTCAAAAAATTGTCTTTAGTTAATGAGTATAATTCCATAGATATTCCCATGCCTGCGTCAACTAAATTATCTATGTTCCTATACTGATCACCAAATAATGGAAATCTTAAGACTGGAACTCCAGCATCTACTGCTTCGTATAATCCAGATATTCCACCGTGACTGATAAAGAGCTTAACATTTTTGTGCACTGTAAATCATTAAAAAAATATTAATTAACTATACATTTAAGGATCGACATTATTTTGTTTTATTGTAAAATCTTTCAAACAATATCTCGTTGAGGAAACCATTTTCTTGTCATGACATTTTTGGGTTTATCTTCCATTTCACCCTAGTATTTCAATAAAACTCTTTGTGGAAGGTCAGCTAGTGCTTTTTTGAATGCAGTTAAAATATTTTTTGGAACTGAAGACATTGCAATTGTTGAACCAAATATGAATAAAATGACTCCATGTGGCGAGTCTTCAATAAAGTCCAATAAATCCTGGAACCAAAAGTTTTCATTGTAAACACATTTTAAATATTTTATTTCTAAAATAGTTAAATGACCTATTTACTATGTGCGTGCAAAAGTTTATATTAAATTTAATATACATAAAATAAAAGATCATTATTTCTAGAAAAACTTGAATAATTTAAATATTTTATGAAAATATGATATAACACCATTAATATTCTAATTTATTGTACTTTACGAAAATATAATATTTCTATGATTATTTATTAATTTGACTTTTCAATGATAATTTTCGATTTCTATTTGCAAAACTAATATTTTATCTTTAATTCAATAAAATTACTTTAATACTCTAAAATCTAATTTTCCTTACTAAAAAGTGAAAATAAATATGTTTTAAATATTCATATTAATTAATAATTTTTTTTGAGAATGAAAGGATTTAAAAATAATTTATAAATTGTATTTATTGGTATTTATTCAAATAATTTAAAATTATATTTATCTTTCGGTTAAAAATAAAGTAGGTAGGCATTAATCGGAATCCATCGATTAATATGAATACTTATGTCTAGTTTACTCATTATTTAAGGTTATATTATTAGTTTGATACCTACAATATAATTTATTTTTCAAAATAAAATTATTTATTTACTATAGGTGCATATACATAAAATACCTATTCAATTTAGTTGTTTATTTTCGTGTAATATCTCGCAACTTAGTCTACCCAATTCCATCATAAATGAAATTGGCGTAAACTGATTGCTATATGTTTCTCTCTTACTTACTATATTCATGCCAAGTTTCATTGGAAACAAACTAGACATGTCTATTTCTGTATAGTTTTCGCGATTACCGTCAATGGAATGGTGTGAAAACTGTAACATTATGTCCATTGTTCGTCATTGCCCGAAGCACGGCGCTCATGAAATTCCAATGACTCCTGCCAGCAAACGTCTCTATGGCTAATATTCTCGCAGCATTTCCCAGTTGAATACCCGAACAACAGAATATTGCCAAAAGTATAATTGAAACTATTGACTTGTGCGACATTTTTGTTTTTGCGGTTTAGTTTAATAAAATAGAGTAGATATGTGAATTATAACGGTTTGTAGTTTTAAACTAATTTGCGTTCTTCGTCCGTCCACGCGTTGCTTATATTATATATTAACCCAATAAATAATATTATGTAATTGTTTGAATAATAATATATGATAAGTACTTGAGACAACTCCATACTTTATTGAAACAATAAAATAACGATAAATTGTAATCATGTAAAATATTTTAGTGTAATAATTAATAAGTTCTTTTTCCAATAGAGTAATTCAAGTTTCTTTCACTCGTTAGTGAGTTTAGTGTAGAGGGGAAGGATGCCATCGTCATAATCTCCCTTTGACTTAGATATGACTTTTATAAATATTTAAACTATTCTTTAGCCATTTTTCTTATAAAATATATTTAAGTGAAATTCTATGATAAATTATATTAAATCTTAAATGGGCGTCGAGTTTTTGTGAATTATTTTTGCGTTTTATTATATCTATATTTATACATATGTGTGTAATTTATTTTACCTAACTATTAAATATATAATTAATTTCTTGACAATTTGAAGAAGGACATAGGTTATTATTAATACTATTTTTGAGGCTGTTGAAAATATATAGTTTTTTCGTTCATTGCCATTTAGACAAATAAGCGAAAGAAAAAAAAAAATATGAACTGCAAGAAGTTGAATTTTTTGCTTCTTGTCTGTGTTTTGTAGTAATTAATTATTTATTTCATTTAATCTTAGATTATGAATGTATAGATTTTTACAATAATAAGTGTTTTTTTTTTCGTGCTAGTCATCATCGTTTGGGGCAGTACTACTCTTTCGATTTTCTTCAACAGTATATTGTTCGATGGGAAAGTGAATCTAATTGGTGCATTCGCGAGGTCAACATTTAAAATTCTCAATAGATTTCAATAGCGCAAGGAAAAACAAAATAAAAATTAAGGAAAAACAGTAAATTTTACGCAAAACCGGTTTTCGACAAAATTGATTTTGGTTTTCGGTGTAACTCTAAAACAATCAACCGTAGATACACTACCTAATTTTACAATACAATAATTTCTAATTTTTTAGTTTTTTTTTTTATGCATCACAACTAAACATGTAGTTTGATGGGATATTATTTTTGTACTAAACGTGTGTTTATCATTTTACAGGACAATGGTGAACGGCTTACATTGATCTAAGCCGTTGACAATTTAAAAATTTAGTTTGACTTTATTTTGACCATTTGATAAATTATATTTTCGATCAGCAACCATAGTTGTGTTATCTCTATTATTATAAAAGTAAATATTGCATATAATTAAAAACATATGGTAATATGCCTTATCTCAATGGTGTATGCTGTAGAGAGTAGACTTTAAGATAAATAAAAATTGTTATTTTTAGAATGTTATTGGTTTTTATAGTCTATGACTTCATTGATGTCGTTGGATGTAGTTCTTTGAGTACCTTGTATCTATAATATCATGGTGTCGATGTTTGTTTAGAAATTAATTTTTAGTTCCTTCTAATATTAATGTAAGTAATTAAAATATTCTTATAATATAATGTTGAATGCAAATATGCAATATAAGCAGTGGCGTAGACATGATTTTTGAAAGGGGGGGTTCAAAAAAAAAAAAACAACATAGCTTATAGGAGGGAAAAATTGGAAAATCCCCCACTCCCTCAAAACTTTTTAATAAGGTAATAAAAAGCCAATTGTTGGGAGATCTGACCCCCACGTCCCCCCCCCTTGTCTACGCCACTGAATATAATATCAAACATTTCAGCTTTGTGCACAAATGGTGTAGACTCTACGCCGTAGTATGTGGTATCTGAATTGAAGGTCCATAGAGTGATGCTTTTAGTATATTAGTTCATATTTTTTTTCTTTATTTAAAATGAACAATTAATTAAACATTACGTTAAATATGAAAATTAAATATTATCCAATTTCTAATTTTTGCACACTAGCTATATAGTAATTTAATTAGTAAGGTTAAATTTATAAAATGTGAGGGTCAAGAATATAATTCAAATATTTATGGGCTAAAAATATCGACTTTAAATAGGCTAATATTTAATTTGTATTATTGAAGCCCATATATTATTACAATATCATAAACAATAATTCTGTATACTCAGAACTTATATAATGTATACATATATCATGCATACATAAGTTTTATTTTACAATTAATATCCTATTAAGTATATACAGGTGTATAAGTATAATCTAACCTAGGTGAATCACTCCTATAATATCCCATTATACAAAAATATCTATATTTCCTGTATATAGCCTGTAAGTTAAATTAATATAATATTATAATTTTTTATTCGTTTCTATGGTGATAAACAAAGAGTTAGAAATTAAGATCCCATTTTTAGCGGTTTTTCGTAATTTGTTAGTGGTTTTTAAAGTGGTTTTTAAAGTGGCATCAAATAACTATTGAGAAAATGACCTCTCTAAGGTACCATGTTGATCCAATTTGCTAAAAGATAAGATACTATATGTGTTGAAATCAAAGCACTCCTTCTGGTAGACATTTTGTGTAGAGGATAAAAAAAAAATAAGCACCATTGTAAAACCAAGCTCAGCTCAGAATCTAAAATAAGCTTATTTCTGCAATATTATTATTTATATTTTAGAAATAGTAGCTCGTATATAAATAATATTTTTTAAATAACACTTTTATAAGTTGTTGTCGATGATTCTCTCATACTAGTCATACTGTCATACACTTTAATTATTTTGAAAATAAATATCATACATATATAATAGTATGATAGTATGTATGATAGTTATTATTATATAAGCAATTTAGTATTTTTACAATAGATACGGACTTGAGATGAATAAAAATGTCCTAAATATTAATATAAATACAAAATAAAAAGTAATAATTTAAAAATACTATGGCGACAAAAATGTGTTTATTGTTTAATAAACAATATAATATTCACTGCACATATTAGCCAATTAGTTCCAAACACTATTGGACAAATTCCCAAAAGTCAACATTTTACTATGATTTTCTACATAATTCATCAACAATAATTATATTATATACATTATACATAAACATAATATGTTAATAAGATCGTGTTATATAAGATATTTAACGAAAATAGATCAGTCGAAAACTGTCTTATAATCAATAAATAAGGATATACAATTATTTAATATGATTATTATTTAATTTAAAATTATTTACATAGTATAATTTAATCCAAACATAAATAGGATACTTTTTAACCTAACCATATAATGACTAATATTATAATATAATATACAAATAAAAGTAGCTTAACCAAATTAGCAAGTTCTAATATAGTTTTTTTCGTGCAATTTTTTTTGACTGACATCAACAATATTTTTGTAAAACTTTTTTTCTTGTTCTTATAACTGCTACATTTACCTATCAGTACATTAAACATTTATATATTTTAAAAATCTTAAATTTAAATGGCCAATTTATTATAATGTATAACAATGTGTTAGTAATAATAAAGTTAATATTATCATTAATTTTAACATCATAATTATAATTGGGTATTATAATGTATCAAAATATGTACCTTAATATTTATTGCGGCCTAGCATATTTTCTTGATTTCCATATTGAAAATACAGAAAAAATCAAATGGTCAAGTGTATTTACAAATATTAAATATAAAAAAGTGTTTATCTTTTCTTTACGCCAATACAGTTTTAATTTGTAACACTTTAAGGGTGAAGCATTTTTCGTTGAAATATAAAATAAACATTGGTTTATTATTTCAGCTGAACAGAAAAGTGTACATAGATGATTTTAAAATTATTGAAAAAATTTAATATTTCTGAAGTTTTCACTATACCTAGCTCTTTTATTTTCTTATTTCTATTTTTTTTTGTAAGTATAATACAATTTATATTTTAAGTAGAGGTCAACATGTACCTCTAACTCACTGTCTTTATACAAATTAATGTATAAATATAAGAGTTTACAGAAAACTTAACCAATATAAATTGGACAGTTAGATGTTTTTAGCTTTTTTGTTTTATTCTAAAAAAAATCATTTGGTACGCTTTAATAAGAGTTTGCATAATAAACAAGATTAACAAAACTACCTGATCAATCAATTTTTATAATTACAAAAAAATATATTTATTATATTGTTTGAGTCATTTAAAAATATGGTATTGGTATAGGAGGTGCTACTAACTGATTTAATTTTATAATTTATATTTGGAAACTTTTAGGCATCATACTATTTTTGGGACTAGAAAAGGTCCCAAATAAGTTGCATGATCTCCAATTATAATATCGTAATAAGTACGACATGATTGTTGTAGAATAAAAAAGTTTCAGGGGGACGGAGTTGCAGAGCGGATTATGGCGTCGATTCCGATGCGTATCGTCGCCGGTTCGAATCTCGACCACTGGCGGCTCCTCTCTCTGGGCAGGCAACTGTCTAGAGAGAGAAAGAGAAAGAGAAAGAGAGAAAGAGAAAGAGAAAGAGAGAAAGAGGCCACCATCCCCCGACAGAACATGGCAGAAACCTAGGGTACCCTCCCCCACAGTTTTAAGAAACAAACCACTCAATGGCCTAAGTATACCGTCACAACCGTTATAAAGCTAATGGGCATAGTTTCCGGGCTCTAGACCAATATAAAAAAAAAAAAGATAATGTTATCAATGTATAAGAATAAAATAATACATATATGACATATCATACAGTTTTTATTGAATACCGATTGTATATGATTTTTTATTTGTAGTTTAATGATTATACACAAACAATTATATGTGCAAGTAGATTTTTGTTATTAATTTTATCATTCTGTAGATGATATGGAAATATTCA